CCACTTGCGCACCCTCACCCCACCAACACTACGGGAAACCACCACCAACAAAAATGCACAACCGTGACCGCCACCACCAACAACCACCGCCAACAACAACAAAAACACCTGCACCACACTACCTACAAAAAACACCACCAACAACCACCTCCACCGCACCACCTAAACAAAACACACCCAGAAATTCACATCAGATCTGGATCACAGATACATACTTCTGAGTCACCACTAAAAGATCACAACCACCACACAAAAACACAAAAATAGGAGCAACAGTGCTGATGTACAAGGCTCTGTGCAAACCCAGTGCAGCGATAGCGCCCATCGCTGAGGGAACACCCATGGCCGTACGAATACACTAGTGAATTTGGTTAACCAAGTGGGCACGAACACCCATAGCTCTCTATGTAGCGTCGATGTTCACAGTACCGTTGTGGGCACTGCCATTTTTTGTCGATTGGAGCAGTACTCACAACGAAGATGGTGAAGCCGCTTGTTGTCTTGCTGCTGTGGGAGTCAATATTTCTCTCCAGAACGCCGCTAGATGGAACCCCCTTCAGAAAGCCCTCCTTCGCCGCCGCTCAAAATCAACAAAAATCAAAAGTGAGGGATGTGCGTTATTGCTAGAGTTGAGAGGAGTGGTTGTGCGTTATTGCTGGAGTTGAGCAGATTGTGAGGGATGCCGATGATTTGAGGATTCCTGATGCTGGCGGTTGAGCGATGGGTCGCCAGCGTGGAGGACGTTTGCGGAGGGTGTGTGTCAGCGATGGGATCTAGGTTGGAGATGTGAAGTCGACGGGAAGGGATGACGGAGGCGGCTGTGTCGGCGTCGGTTGAGATAGACGGGGATGAGAGAAACGGGGGTGAGTTAGGGTTTGATAATTAAATTTTAGGGGTGGGGTGGGTGTATATAAATTAATTTTTATAATACTATTATTAATATTTAATTAAATATAAAAAATTTGCATCTATCTATAAAATATCTGATTTTTGAATATTAAAACATGAAATCTGATTTTGGAATTTGGATCTCCAAAAGTAGGGAATTAGGTAATTTTCACCTAGTTTATTCTACTCAATTTGAAGAATTAATTCTGATTTTTTGAATGTTTAGGAGTCTGGTTTATGCATTGCCATTTAGAAGTGCACACAACATGGGGACTGAAGATGGCATTCTTAGTGGATAATGGTAAAGGGCCCAATGAGTCTCTTCTACCACCGCCTAATGATCTACCCAAATGTTGAGAACCCAAAGCTTCGTATTTGTACATTTTATTCACCAAACAATAGAGGTGACGAAGCCCAAAGAAGGGGCCCAATTCTTTTCCTTGTACTTGGTTGTTTATCATGGATTGTATGTGTGCGATATATTTGGTCTGTAGTATTGAACATATTGTCAAGTTTTAGTTTTTTGTTCCTTTCTAGTACTGTCCATTTCTGTTCATCTAAAGTTGCCAATGTATTTTTTTGAGTCGAGATGGAGGTCCGTATTACCTTGTATAAAAATTATCTCTCCATAAAGAAAATAGTTTTCTTATTTTCAAGAAAAATATGGTCAAGTAACAAAAAGTAGAAAAATATTTTTCATAAAAAAATTGTCAATCAAACAGTACAAAAGTAAGAAATTAGATGGGAAAACACATTTTTTCATGAAAAATACTGACAATCAAACACACCATAAGTGTTTCAAGATCCAATTCATAATTAATAGTTACAATTTTTTTTCGAAAACAAGATATAATTAAAAATTTAAATATTAATAATATTATTATTAAATTAAATTAATTAACGTATCTTCACCCTCCCCTCTTTTCTCTTTCTATATCTCACCATTTCTCTCTCATCTTCCTCTCTCAACTCTTTAACCACTTATTCTCCAAAAAATCACTATTGCAAAATCTACTCTCTCAAAAAATGGGGCTAAAACAAAACCTAAGTTAAGTAAGTTTGTTGATACAAAAAGTATCTTCAGAAATCATGTTTTGGTAAATTAAGCACAACCAACGTGCTAAAGATTGAACCACAAGTTTCATTTCTCCTTAGATGAAAAAAAGGCTGATAATGTCTATGGCAACTGTATGAATCATTTTTGCAATCTTTTTACCATTTAATTGCATTGGCGCGGTGAAAGGAAAAAATAGTTAATGGCTCTTGTGGATCTAACTCATCAACTTCTATTATATCATAACAAATTTGAGTCAGTTGCCAATGTTGACCTGTAATGTGACCTTCATACGCCTAAGTTTTTGAATGGAATTAGATGTTCTGGTGTGCCCAACCATGAACTGAAATTGAAGGTCGGCACTCCTATTATGCTTTTACGCAACATAGACCATTCCGCCGACTTATGCAATGGCACAAGATTGATTATTACGAGGCTCGGAAGTCATGTTCTGGAAG